ACAAATAATGATGATGGCTGTTTTCAATCAAAGTGAATATTCATTATACTTGGACCGCTATAACAAAGATATTGTAACACGAAAGTGTGTGTGCCTACACCAGTCGGCCATATATAGGTCAATAGTAAAAAAATGGAACCCTTTAAAATTTTGAAATAGAATGAAATACTTGAGCATCAGTTTTCTATTTGCAGAAATTGAAACCCGATTGAAACCCTCTCCTCACGATTGTATTATGCTTTATTGTTAATATGGATGATGGGTTATATAATGATGTAATAATAATCATGAGTTCTAAATGTTGAAAAGCCATCAACAAGCACTGTAGGCATACACTATACATACCTTATACCAAAGGAATGAATTAACAGAAAATGAATTACTTATGGAAATTATTCTTACCTTCAAATGTTTTAATTAACTCAGGGACACCCCAAGTCTGCAGAAGATATTTGGTTTCTTCGTCCATAGGTAAGTATTTGCAAACCACAAAACTGAACTGACCGAACACCTTCGAGATTTAAATGTGAATGAGCCCTTTGATCTATGTTTCCACAATTAATGCGTCGATGCATCGCAGTCCGCGTGGATTTTTAACTGCTTTTAAGGTAATTTCAATCTGCAGGGTGGTGCAGATCGAATGACTTCAGTTCCGATTAGCTACAAGCGGCCGTATATTAGAACCAGAAAGAATGGTGTTACCACTGTGTGATGCAATTCAGCATTTTGACTTGCACGTATACAAAATTACAACATACAAATGAATTGAGTAGGTAACATTATCATCAGGTAATACTATTATGGCGATGCGGGGCTGAACAATGTCTTGAAGATTAAATTGTGATGACCATCAGGGTGAGAAAAAAATATACTGTTTTAATCTTAATCTTACAAAAACACCGATGTATAGGTACGTGCTTGACACGCAAATCATGCCATTCGTGCTCCTGATGGTGAATAAGTAGAAACCTACATGATGAAATATTTTTTACATAATAATTATCAATGTTATGATAGGTATATATTGATAGTGCAAGAACCGTTTTATCCTCACGATTGGACTAAGTTTTTTCATGTTTTTTTTGCCATGCAAGATAAGGATAAGGTTCTCTGCTTGGAAGACACAATCAATATAATATGCGGCAAAATAATGTTATGAGAAATCTATCATCTGGTATATTCTGTTGTACAGAATAATGATCAGGTATTCTGCTTAGAACACACATAACATAAACTGTTATAAGCAACGTATCATCTAGTATATTTTGCCGTACAGGAGAAGGATCGGGTATTCTGCTTGGACGATAAATATGCGGCGAGATCTACTGTTATGAGGAACGTATCCTCATCAGGTATATTCTGCCGTACAGGATACGGATTCGGTATTATGCTTGAAAGACACATCTGCGGCAACTATACTGTTTTAAGGAACGGAAATCTGGTATATTCTGCCGTACAGGATCATGATCAGTTAATCTGCTCTAAAGGCACATACTGATCCCTTCGTTGTATGTTATACACTTACAAGCAGTATCCGCAATGTGTATTATCCTTACTGAACTCACTCTTGGTATTTCATCATGATTACGTAAGCCATATCCAGTGTAATGATATTACGGAAATACCATTTCATGGAATGATGTTGAGACCAACCAGAATATCTGCTATGATGCTGTTTCATACGTGATGAAGGTATTTCATGGATATTTAAAGGTGTTACGTACGTAATAATGCAAAAACCGTTACACCCTTATGGCAGGACTAAATTTTTTCCTCAGTGTGTTGGCATACCGGACGAGTTGGCATATTGGTACTTTCTCAGCTTCTAAAAACGTTGCGGCGCAATTAACCTTCTTCTTCTGTTTACTCATTGTGTGCAAGCCGGTAAATGTGTTTGTGGCTACTTCCGACAATAAATAAAAAAGTTTATGACAATTTTGTTTTTTTGAAGGTAGGAAATGTTTAATTTACTCATTTTACTTGGTTCTTTGGGATTTTCTCTCCTCGTTTCTATAAAATAAAAGTATTCGTATTATTTCAATATATTTGTAGAGGGACAAATATATTGAAATAATACGAATACTTTTATTTTATAGAAACGAGGAGAGAAAATCCCAAAGAACCAAGTAAAATGAATGTACCACCTCCTCGATTAACCTATAGACAGTGTTTAATTTACTCTTATAACTTGCTGCAAAACATGAACATCCAATATCTTTTTGAATTCCAACAAACGTAAATCGATTTTGTGAACCTAACCTCGAAATTCTACGGTATAACCGTTGCTATGTTGTAACTGGTTGTGAGTAAATAGGTCTTATTTTTTGAAAAGCGTTTTCAGGCGAGTTGGCATACTGTTGATTCGGGCTAGTTGGCATATAGTATGCCAACTCGCCCTTACGTAACAAAATCAATAAGTTATTTTGTTGTTGCAGATTTAAGTGAACATGGTTGGAAATGAAAAATGGATTCGTTGCTTGTCTTGTAATAAATGGGCCCACTGCGATTGTTCAAATTGCTCCTTCAAAACAAAACAGTATATTTGTGAACTTTGTGTTTAACTTTCAAGTAGTACTCCCTATTCTTTTCAAACTTCACTTTTTTCATTAATAATATTTGTTTTTCATATTTTTGGGTGCGTTACATTTCCGTTATATTTTTTATTGAATGAACTTTGACAATGACATCTCATTTAATATTTATTCACTCCAAGTAAGTCCAGTTTGGGCAAGATGGCATACCATGCCATCTTACCCGGAATATTCAGCCCGAGATGGCATAGCGAGGTGATTTAAAAAAATATATACTCAACCTGAAAACACAGTTAGGGTTCTATTAATTTTTGTTGTTGTTAGGCAAGGTATTTTCCTATTCAACTACCAAGTTTCAGCCCGTAAATCTCAAAAATAACTTGAAAAAAAAAATATTCACAAAATGTATGCCAACTCAGGCATATTTCCCCTAACGAATTTACTAGGAGAAACATACTACGATATCACTTCCAATTTTCTGATTCACGAATCTGCGAATACTTTCATTGCACCATCATAAAATCGAACTGCTCATCCAATCACTTCCGATGGAAAGCATTCCCAAAGTTTGTTATGTTCTCTTCGGAATTAGGTACACAATTTGATTTGATCATTGATAATTTTGAAAATAAACGCTCTCCTCCGCAATTGGTCACTGATGGCAGTGTTGCAAACAAGTTCAATGTAGTATTTTTGCATTGAAAAACACGTCCATCATTCCTTCAGTATATATATAGGGTCCCGCCGATTTCATAGAAACATTATTACTATTTCCTCAACGGTATACGTTTTGCAGATGAAAAAAAATTGCCGTTCCTGAAAAATTGGAATGAAAAAATAGAAAATCATTTTTTTTTTACTGTTGATATTTTATCTAAATCGAAACGGCACATGTTTTTTTTTTTCAGTTTGCAAAATGCCATATCGAGGAAGTTATTGAACTTTGGTCGGATTTAAGCAACTTTCTTTCCCTTAACCGGCCCACTGTCGCTATGAGATCGGCAGGACCCTGCTTATGGTTTTCAACATTTTTGGAATGTTGCCGCTGCTTCTAGGTATATAAAATAAATACCTATTGCTCAAAAGAGAAATTCATTTCAATCATTATTTCATCTATACAAACGAATGATATGGGAAAATAGTCATGCAATGCCAGAGCCCCTCGGGGGCCCCTGCAAGGGTCGGGGCCCTAAGCTTGAGCATACTAAGCGTACCGGTAAATCCGCCACTGTGCAGGGATGTTTGTGCTCGCTGGGGAATATCCCATGGACGACGTCCACATGGTCCACGTGTTATCTAGGATTCGCGAAATTCGTTTCCGCTAGATGGCGCACAGAATTTGAGCGCGAAACAGTATTATGGTGATCAGCTGCATTTTTCCATAAGAGACCATTGTGTTCGATTTTGTCTTCATTTAAATTCAACTGAATTGTTGAAAATTTTGAAGGTTGAATTGAGTTTCTCGAACATTTCTGCCTACGTAGGTATTCGCCAAACGCTAATAAAAGAAGGTGAAGCCGTCCTCAAGGCTAGTTATATTATCCTATGTCAGCTGGATAAATGGGAATATCAGCTGTCAGAATCAGTGAATATTTGGACTATGCATGTTTGCAAACAAGTGCTCTAACTTCACCACCACACGAATAAAATATTACTTCGAATTGTGATCTCCATAAAGTGAATTGTATTTATTTTTCATATGCTAAAAAGGGACCCTTTTCATAACCTCAAATATTCACCTCTGATAAAATCGGTCTCCAAGAAATTATCACTTTAAACATACATTCAATTTGTAATAGATTTTCCAATTTCTAATGAAAATTGCCACTTCTTGTTTAAATCTTCGTTTTAATTGGAAAATAATGCAGAGAAATGTTGTCTGTGGGAGTGTGGGACACTGAGCAACTGAGCAAATATATTGATTTTCCTGACTTCTGCAGCCCGTGTTAATTCACTCATTTTGAAACAATCTTCATTAAAGAATATCCGTCAACTCAATTTGTTGTCCAAAAATCTAATAATAAGGCGAAAACAGTGAAACCAGATACACTACCACTTATGGATAGAAATACCTAATATACTTTATATCAGTTCAACTGAATAAACATAGATGTCGCACCTGTTGTGCATTTCGCGATTTATTTCTCAAAATTGATTTCCGTCGCCCCACCTGACGACAACAACTTAAACAATTCTGAGCGGTGAGCGATTTACTTTGATGGATGGGAAACAAAGTAGACAGACCGCTTTGACAGCTTTCAAAAACTCCGATAGGTGGCGTAAGCTTATTTTCTCTGAAGCTAACCCTTAGATCATGCAGGAATCCTGTATGATTGGCTTGGCGCTAACCTGCCACTGTATCTTCGGCTTACTTCGGAAATTTCGGCCGCCTACATTATTGGCTGTCACAACTACCACTATGCCTACCAGCTGCTCAAGAGCTGCTGACATCAACCAAGTTCACACTGTTCACACCGTTATGCATAACCTCTACAAAGCTGTCATTATTTCTTATATTATTATTTTGATTTGGAATATTTGTTTTTACTTTCCAGCTGTATTTTAGCTCCGTTCTGAGTGAATAATATGTTAGAAATAAGTGGAAATTGAACAATCAATTATGTGGTTTCTAACATTTATTAGTTACATGGCAATGTTGATACAAATTATATTTGTAACCATAGCAATAGGTAAGGTACTTCTTCAATCAGTGCTGATTGTACATCTTTTGATATACATACTTATCGAGATACTTACAATGTTTCATGAACTTTACTCTCTGTTATAGAAATTAAGTTAAATAAGTAGATTGTTTTATAGTTGCATGTTTGTGTACACAGAAAAAACTGGCTATGGTATAGGGTATCCCACATAACATTGCCACCTCTAGGAGGAACCCTCTATATCTGGTAAACTACTATAATAGATACAAAAAATTGAGAATCGAAGTTGTTCACAGTTATTTGAAGTTTAACACAACTAGAACTAGGATCCCGAAATCCTTTCTTTCTCTATATTGAATACCACTGTATAATGATATATAATAATGATGATAACTTAGGTCTGAGATCATCTGTTTTGGACATATACCTAATCTTCAATAAATAGCCTGTTAAAGCCCTATAGAAACATTGACAAACAAGTTTTCCATGCACAGTACATCATAATTTCAAAATGGATGATATATTGATCTATATTTGTTGATTTATAAAGAAAATCGTGCATGAAGAACTTAACCCACAATGTTTTTAGAGGGTCTTGAAATTTGACTAGGTATTGCTCAAGGTATTGAAGAAGATCATAGATAAGTGTGGAACTGGTGATCTCAGACTTATGTTTTCTCCTTATTTTGTAACTCTTGGCTTTATTCAAGGATGAAATGAAATAGAGGGTGTTCCATTTGCAAATTTCTTGAAAATTATCGGTTTGCAAAATAAGTAAGTACATCAACTCTTTTTGCAGATGCAAAATTTCTAAATTTTGACCAAAGATCAAGATAATAAAGAGTTTATTGTTTTATGATAACCTTTGCCTTTGAAAAATTGATTCTCTATTTTTCTATAAAAAACTTCGAAATTCAACTATTCATTGAAGAAGATCCTGTATAAGTCTGAAATGGAGTGAGTTGAGACCCATATTACCATACATCACTGAACTTGTTCTTGTGAAATCTATTCAAAAATCTAATGAAGAGGGTGAAAAAACGTATGTTTGGTGCGAGGTTTGGTGTATGTCACAAACCTATAGATCATCCTGTATAGTTGACATCATCTAAACAAGAAAGTTTATGTGAACTAGTTCGATTCTAAATTTTCTTGTACGATTTATCCAAAGTCAATTGAAGCGTTTTGAGCCGTGCCTGCACTCACTTCAAGAGGAACTACAAACAAGGCATTTTATTTATTTTAGTTCCCAAAAAAGCTGATAGCTTGATAATTATAGAAGAAAAAACAGAAGTTACTATTCCATGATTGACTTCTCAACAATCTTAAGGACCTGTGACAAAAGTGAGTGATTAAACTTTGTTTCATCATATTTCAGATTGAATATAGGTGATCTCTTCCTAACACAATGGTTTTTGATTTACGTCAATTTATTTTTTTAAGAGAAGAATGTGTTGGGAAAGTATGGAATTCTCAAAGGACCCTGCACTTTTTCTATATAAAAATGGCGTTCTGTCCAATTTTCTGATTTTCTGAATTTCTGGTATATCATAGTACTCAACCTGATAATCAAATAGGCCGAGTCCCAATCCGATCCTATGACCAGTTTTTGAGATACAGGGTGTTGAAGTTGAGAAATGCTCCCTTTTCATATGCTCATATCTCCAAGAGAGGAGAAATGGAGAAATGAATTGGATTTTTTCGCTAGCAGGATTTTAGTTTTACCTTTGGGTAGAACAACCATGTATAGAATCAACCAAAACTGATCTTTATCACAGGGTGATTCACACCTGAATTATTGTGCTATTTTCAATTTCTAAATATCGATACCACAACTTGATAAAAATTACAAAATGAAAATTATCATCCGAAATGTTCTTCTTACATCAAATGGATTCATTATATGTATTGATTATACATGGCATTCACGAATCACCATGTATTCTTCTTTACAGAAGCGTGTTTTTTAGTGTTCTTATATTGTTTGCGAGTACCCAATTTTGAAGAAAGAATCATAATCTTGGACCTCGGTAACCCTCAATTACCAACTTTGAATAGAATCGGATCATATAATTACAAAACTCGACCACCATATTGGATCCACCATTTTGAATTCTCCAATTTTCACGAAAGAATCATAATCTTTAATTCCGAAATCCCCCAAATACAAATTTTGAGTAGAATCGCATCATAATTACATGAATCGTCCGCCATATTGGATTCGCCATCTTAAATTTTCAAATGCCGACGAGAGAATCATAATCTCCGATCCCGAAAACCCCCTGATACAAATTTTGTATAGATTCAGAGCATAATAATAACTCGTCCGCCATATTGGATTCCTCATCTTGAATCACCCAATTTCAACGACAGAATCATTATCTCCGACCTCGAAATCCCTCAGATACCAATTTTTAATAGAATCAGATCATAATGGGCGTGTACACCTTAGTAGAACTTTTAACTCAAACCATGATTATAATGATCCTTTAATACATAAATAATGATTGACGACATAATTCGATCGAAAAATTAACTTCTGAAAACGGACCCTCTTATGACGTAGAAACCTCATCTCGCCATAGTTAAAAGAAAATACCAAACGCCTGACGGAGACTGAGGCAACTGATATATTAATTCTTTCAACTGTGACCTCGCGCTAATTCACTCTGTCAGAAATCATGTATCATTCATCTCTGTCCGAAATAGTCTTGTTTCAGTATCAGGGTTTTGACGTCACATCATCGCCTCGTTTTCAGAGGTCCGAAAAATCGGGGATTTCAATAATTTTTTATAAAACGTAGGGAGCTCACAGCAAGAAACGGTTTGCGGTGGTGAGCTAGTTTGGGTGAGTTCTATCGAATTATGTAATATTTTTTTTGGTGATATAAGCCCATTATAATGTTTACATACTATAACCACTTTTGACGTACGACAATATGCATCACTTAGAAATAAAGTTTGTTTTAGCGAAGTGTCAAGTGAATCCGTGCTGCACCTTAAATTTCAACACTCCCTTCCTCAGGAGAGAAGTGGTAAACAGGATTTCTCCACTTCACAAAAAAAAAGCGAATAAGTGCAAACTCGCACCCTGATGCAAAAATTTTTGCCGTCCCGACGGCCGACAAAAGAGAAAACCCGTGTAACTTTTCGGTATGTTTAGGGTGAAATACGAACATGAATTGGGCGTGGCTCCGAAAAATGTTTTCACCTGCGGCGCTTTTCTTTGGTCACCACTTTTTCTTAACACAGCCCCTCCAAACCAAAATCCTGTAGGAGATATTGACATGAATCAAAAACCATATTGTGAAGAAGGGATCACATACTTCAATCCAAAACATGATGAAGCTAAATTCGAGGCTGAATTAAACCATTCTCCTTTGCCACAGTACGTTAAAAAGTTAAGGGTGAAAGAGTGACTTTTGTTTTTTCCTCTGTATAATGAATGATCAAACCATCAGCTTTTTTCAAAAAATCTAAATTCAGGCTAACACTCCCAAACATAAATCTCACCAGAATTGGACAAGATTTTAAAAATGCACATGGCGATCAATTTGGATACATTTTTTACTGGTCGGTTTTATGCTGGTGGGTGTATTCTAGTTTACCAGATAAAGGGGTGGGAGTTATACCCTGTACTATTGACAATTGAAGTAGGATCTGAAGAGATTGTTTTGTTATCTTTGTTTCCATTAGTGATAACTGAAGGTAGGGAAATTAGGAAACTTGTAACAATTTTGGTATAGGACTCCTCCCATATATAGAATTGCCCTAATTGCCCATCTCTATACCTAAGATAGGTTTAATTCTCCTTTTCGTTCCAATTGGTCTCTTTTATGATATATTCTTCTTTATTGTTAAAGTAATACTTGCACTTGAAGTTCCGCATTGAGAGTAAAAAACGCAGGTATGATCAAGTTTAACAATTACTTGAGCTTTTCTATTTGTTGACATATTCAGGCCACATCTTTCCTTCAGGAAATTTTTGGAAAATCAGGCCATAGCCTTAGCTTCCAAGGCTGTCCAACAAAATGCTGAAACTTTTGACAGCTCTATAGTAACGCCAACTGGTGAGACTGAAGATGTTAGCCCCAGATTAGTCCTTATATTATGAAACCTGATGCCTCTCAACCTTCCAATCTCTCCTTAGTCAGAAGTACAAAAATAATAATGAATATACTTACCCACCTACAGAAGTTTTGGTCTCTCGCCAATTTCAAAGGCATATACAGGATGTCTCATAATTGGCGTGCAATACTTTTGCAGTAAATTCCACAACCAAGGATACGAACAAAAATTTGAAAGAACATTGGTCGAAAAATGGCTCTCAAGGAAGCACAGCATATTTAAGACATTTTCCTGGAGCTCATTTATCATCATCATTTCAACGGTTTGAGATGAAATAATGAATATGTGTATACTTACCGGAATTCAAAAATATAAACAAAGTTTGAAATTTTTATGTTGGAGTTTATTAAACAGGGTAAGCTTAGCACTCCAATAAGTGTTAATTTTTGCAATGTCACAACAGGAATTGAAAAGCAACCTGTCCAAGCAACTGATTTTCAAATGATTCTAGACAGAAAAATAGCATAGGTAAACAAGAGGCAAAAATACGAATGGTGAGGTCCGAGCATAATGAGAATTACAGTTGAGTAGCTAGGCACTGAATAAGAGTTGTCAATCAAATTACGTTGTGCATTTTTCCCACGATTTTTCCTGAATATAAACAATAAAGTTATGAAATATTTTGTGCATAAACCTAATAACTTTTATATTACTCGAGGATCGAAAGTTTCATTGATATTCATAGGCAAGTGGATTTTTTTATATTTCTTAAATAAAATCATCGCTCAAATACCTTTCAATTTCATGTTTTTTCAGAATTTTTAGGTCGATTTCTAGGTGCTAAAATCATCAATAAAGCCACGGTAATTTTCAAACGAATAGAAATTTACCGCGAGTAAAAACTGACGTCACAATTTCGTAAGTAGGGGCAGACCATAGCACAGTTGCCATGTGTTGAA